GAATCAGAGTACACCTTTCTGTGTCGTATTTATCTGCCTGATCTAAATCCCAAATAACTTGATGATCGATGGGCCAGTCCATAAAGGCCATGTCTGATGCAACGTTACAAAACCCTTCTCTACTACTTCCACTTACTATTGTTATTCTTCTATTTATCACTCTTGATTGAATCTTTAGAATCTCTGCAATATCAGCCACTTCTCGTCTGATGGAGATCACTGTAGGAGTTCCAACTTTGTGGCACATGCGTGAATAATTTAATTCTGTTTGTATTCTTGTCTCTCATTGGTTGATTTCCAAAAAGGAACGCATAACATTTTGTATAATCTGGTTTGGTATGGGGACACATCCCCTTGACAACCAGCTGAATCATCTGTATCCATCAATCCCCTCATTTCCAGTCCTTCGGATTCATGAAAAATTCCAGATTTAATGGATGTACCTTTAACTTCAAACAGTTGCTCGATCTTACCTCATGTAAACAAGCATCATGGCTGCTATATCTATGTATCAGTTTTTACCTCCCCTTGCTTCCCATCACTTCCGTTACTACGGTTGTATTATTGCGCGGTAAATTTGAACTAATAAAAACAACACAATTTTACATCCCCAGTTGTTTAATTATTTTAAAATTAAATTATAAGGAATGACTCTAATTCTTGGCCAGATTATCGAGTATAATATGGTTTGGGTCAGTTTACGCTTTTTTATAATCCGCTTCGCGGATTATAAAGCGTAAACTGACCCAAACCATATTATACTCGATAATCTGGCCAAGAATTAGAGTCATTCCTTAAATAAACTGCCTCTGATATCCTGGGTACCTGATCCATTCTGAGTAAAAAATTTAATTTGTTATAGATAAGAAAATAAATATATTTTCCCTATTTTATTTAAAATTAAAAACGTCTTGATACGCCCAGTCATTCATATTGGTTGATTCTAGTCACTGATTATGCTTACTGCTGTGTGAAACTCTAAAAGAAAGGCAAAATACTTAATTATTTTCTTCTTAAATTGAAAAAAAGAGAATGAATAAAAAAAGTAATTCAAAAGAAAAAAAAAATGGCCAAAAAATTACAAATCATTATCATTTCCAAATATTTCATAATAATAATTCGTCGGCACTTCTCATTTGTCATTTTGTATTTCTAGATATGAAAGTTTCTGCTATACATCTCTGATATACCTACTAAGAAGCTTTTGGGTACCAAATTCGTTTCTTTTTATGGAATTCTTTTTGTCCAGCAGTTATTGTATATATACGTGTGCAAACATAACTGTCTGAAAAATTCTACATCGTGATTTTTCTCCGCTGGATGCAATAAGGTGAATATGTAATATAATTCATGGGTATACTCTTTTTGGCTTTCATATCTATTGAAAAATGAATGACTCGTTCTCGTAACTCGAGGAATAAATCTAGTAAAGATTTAGCATATACAGTGTAACTACCATAAACAGAAAACAATTATTTAAGGAATGACTCTAATTCTTGGCCAAATTATCGAGTATAATATGGTTTGGGTCAGTTTACGCTTTATAATCCGCGAAGCGGATTATAAAAAAGCGTAAATGACCCAAACCATATTATACTCGATAATTTGGCCAAGAATTAGAGTCATTCCTTATAATTCAATTTTAAAATAATTATTCAACTGGGGATGTAAAATTGTGTTGTTTTTCAAATTTCAAATTTACCGCGCAATAATACAACCGTAGTAACGGAAGTGATGGGAAACGAGGGGGGTAAAAACTGATACATAGATCTAGCAGCCATGATGCTTGTTTACATGAGGTAAGATCGAGTAACTGTTTGAAATTAAAGGTACATTCATTAAATCTGGAATTTTCCATGAATCCCAAGGACTGGAAATGAGGGGATTGATGGATACAGATGATTATGCTGGTTGTCAAGGGGATGTGTCCCCATACCAAACCAGATTATACAAAATGTTATGCGTTCCTTTTTGGAAATCAACCAATGAGAGGCAAGAATACAAGCAAAATTAAATTATTTTAAAATAATTCAAAAATTTACTAGATAATTAATGAACTTTAAAAGAAAGTGAAAAATAAATTACCTGTGGTGACGAAAATGATAATCTGGAAAATCTAATTTACTTTCGATTTGATTGTCAATTTAACTCGATACCACGAGTTGTCTTTCTTAATAAATTTTATTAAGTGTATAAATTTCGATAAAGATAAAACATTAAAAGAATTGAGATTGTGTTTTAATTTAGAAAATATATGATTATGGGAAAACATATGAGCAAAGACAAGAAAACGTGACTATCCTGATCTCTATTCCTTTTTTAAAGAAACATATGGAGATAACGAACAGTATCAATAGATCAAAGATCAGAAGTTCATTAAACAATACAAAATAGGAGAAGAGGAAACATGGACCTTCAACACATTGGAGGTGGGATCAAGTGCCACGGAGGAGTTAGCATCACCTGCCGACCAGTCATACCCGCCGTGTGCTCCTTGTCATGATCGAGAAATAACGAAAAAATCCGTCGTCAATTCAGTGTATAAATAATGGACTAACAATTAGTATGAAAAACGTCAACGACTCAATGAGAAATGTATTGCTGCATAACAAGGTCATTGTATCGACCATAGAACTTACGAAATGATAATTCCAATCTTCATTTTATTTATTGATTTCCTGTTTATTGATTGGCCGAGAACACGTTCCAGAAAATTTTTACACATCGATAAATTCTTTCAATCAGAACTACTTTCTTGATGACACTACTAGGTTATCGTATAAACAATGAAAGCAGTTATTTCTGGGTCTAATCTGGCTAAATAATGAATACAAGAAACTTTAAATTTAATAAGGGCTTAAACAAAACTGGCCACATACTAGACTGCCTAACTGATGGACGCCGTGAAAATGTTTATGTCACTGTCCGATCACGAGTGTGAATTTTAAAAATCGCTGTCTCAACGTTCATACGTAGAAAATAAGCTCAATCTGTATCGTTTTGACAGGGAAAAGAAACGTACCTCAAACTCTTGCCCTATTAGCATCAAATTCATATTAACTTTCTATATTGTTCCTCAATACTTGAATAAACAAGTGCAAATTGAAGGCGTCGTCTGTCTGCAAGTTTCGCTATGAGAGTTGTTGTTTATGTCAACATGGCCATGGTCAAAGACGAACTATTCTGAAGTAAACTCGTAATTACGATATTTGATGACTTAAACAGCATTCCATTAGTTGTTATGAGATAATTTATCGATTGTTTTGACAATTTAAGTTGAACTCTATCGAAATTCATCTCGATTACGTTCCTTCACGATAAAATGTATTCCTACGCCGTCCAGAAATAACGGATTGTATGGAGGCCTCAAAGAGAAATAATTTAAATATTTTTAAAAGTTCGAGATTGGAATTATAAGAATTAAACGTTCTTTTTGAAAAATTTATCGATGTGTAAACTCTTGACATTTTACTCACAAACTTAACATAAAAGTGCTTCGCACTTTTATTTAGTTTGTGAGTAAAATGTCAAGAGTTTACACATCGATAAATTTTTCAAAAAGAACGTTTAATCCTATAATGACTTTAAACGAGACAGCTGAAATTCTTGTTCCATCAACTTGTTTGTCAATAATTTACCTCGTTTTAGAAATTGTTCATACGTAAAGCAGACTCTTGATTATCGAACTGAGATATATAAACTCCGTATGCAGGTGATAAAGATAAATGATTTTAAAATTCTACTCAAATGTCAAGAAATAAATGAATGAATGAATGAAAAGATAGATAATAATAATAATGATAAACTAACTAAATAAATGAATTAACAAATAAGTATCAAAATAACTAAAGCAAAATCATCTAGGATTCAAATGGAGGAAAAAAGTGCAAATTAATGTTGTGTGTTGAATGTTATGCATGTAAATAAATGTACGTAAAATGGTGATGAAAGAAAAGAATTCTTTAATGTTTATGTCTATGATATTTAAGGAATAATTAGCTTTTTTTTGTTTTATGATGTGCTCAATCGAGTGGCTTGCGTGATGATTTGCATAAACACTGAAATAGTCACGCAAACCGACCCAATGATCATTGTCATGAAGCCAAAAAAATTGACAATTATTCCTCATATTTACATGCTCTTGATTACGCCAATCTACGTGCTCTAAACCCCGCTTCTGTCTCTATTTTTCCCGCACTGCACGTAATTTTTTTTAACCGCGCCTATCGATGAACCAGTAGTTTTATGTAGAAATAACGAACATTTACTACTTAATTTTTACCTCGGACGAATGCATTGTAAATATCTTGGAATTAAATGAATAGATAAGTGCATTTTCGAATTGTTTGAATAATTCTAGAAATTTAAAAAAGGACATTTCTCGTCTTTAAGTTTTAAACATACCATGTACAACTAAGTGCACGATATTCTATAGTGGTACGTGTCATACATGTTGTGGAACAGGTAAAGTTTTCAAGATGAAAACTTGACGTTACATGTACTCGGATTGATAAAGAACATATCGATTGAGAGTATTCAACTCCAAAGAATTAATGCCAGATACAAACTACTGGTTAAAAAACAAAAAAAGATTTGGTTGTCGACTGAACACATTTAATAAACTGCATGCGTTTAATTTTCACATAAGAGAAATTAGATATTAAATCATATAGATGCACTGTACAATTTTGCATGTAAACAAAGAACAGGTGAAACATGAAAGTATGATATCAATATTTAAAGATGATCACGTAAAAAAAAACTAGTAACCATCGATACAGTTTTAGTGTGATATAGCATTTGAAATGAAATTTTTAAAAAATCCAGAAAAAAAGGTCATTCATTTCAACACAAATGTGCTTCTGGTTGTAAATATTGCAAAACCTTTTATTTCTGATGAAATCACCGCAAATGAAACAATAAATCAAACAGTACAAGTAAATCGAACAAAAAAGAATACAATAGAATAAAAGGTGATGGTAAAAAACAGTGAAAAAAAAACCTACAAACAAAACAAATCTTTGAACAGGATATAAAACAGACCCTCGGAATTTCAAATGGGAGAAGGTGCCTTGAAGGAGTAAGCATCTCCAGTTAAATTGTATAGACATTGAGATATATGTTTTTACTTGTTGAAAGGACATTGTATTTGATTGCTCAGGAAAACGAAACATTTTGCTGAGCATCTTGTATTCTGTAATAAGTTGCCTCCTGTATTTTATGAAGTGGTACTTGTTTTAGAGAGGTTTGATACGACAAAAGTGCCCCTTGGTGGTCTCCACAGATCTGTTGACAGATTCCAAGAATCTGCCATGATATCTCTGCTGATAAGCTGTCAATATAACGTTGCTCTTCACTATGGAGGATGGAAAACAGTTCACTCAGAGCTTCTTGCTGTTTATTTGGGTTACCGCGGTAACATAACACTATCAACATGAGTGTCATGATGTATGGGGGTACTAAAATAAAACCTATTTTTGACACTCTTATTTCTAACTCTAGTTCTTTTATCATATATAATGCATTTTGAGGTAAACGAATGTCCATGGCTACAGCTATCCTCATTTTCTCATTCAGTGACAGTCCTCTCACATTTTCAAAATACCTCGCCTCATCTACACTATAACCTGTCATGACAAAAGGCTGCGTTATAAGTCTTTTAATCATCTTGATTTCTTGAATGGCATCTATATCTTTGCCAATAGAGTAAAGAAATAAAACCAAATAAATCCTATCAGAAGAAAATCCAATTTCTGCACTAACCTTTAACATTTTCAAACAAGTTCGTATAATTTTTAGCCTGCTTTTGTTATTCAAATTGCTGGATGTATTGTATATATGATAAACGGTGTGCCTGAGGATTGATGATACATATTTCCTAATAGTAACACCTTGTCTTGGACTTAAGTCTGGGACACGCGAGAACCTGATTGCAAAATGTAGTGCAGTAAAAATCTGTACGCTATTAAGGCAAGACATCTCTGTAATGTCGTACTTGTTAATTTCATTAAAAAGCTCATAGTCGATGCGGAATTCTGATTCGTTAGTACTTATTACACACTGCCGGTAATAAATTGCTCGAGTTAAGCTTTCTCTGATCGAATGACAATGTAATAAGCATGCAATTCCTAGATTGTACAATTCCAAAAGACGATCACACAACAACTGCTGTGAATGTCCAAATACCTTTGTGATGAACATGTTGTTTTTAGTAATGAAAAAGTTTGGAAGATAACCATGATACACAAATGACAACAAACATTTGAAACACAACCAAAATCCCGATAACAAACTTGATGGGTTCCAGTTTTTGACTGTATTATTTTGAATAACCCAGAATAAAACTGTTTTCATAAAATACGAGCAAAGGAGGGGCTGTCCATTCGTATCTTCCACAGTTAGGACCTCTTTTAAGAATAATTTCAACAAACCATAACACATAAACTGTGTGTGATTCATACAAGAAACGAGTTTGTATTCAGCGACGGAGAATGAAATCCTCCATTCACAATCTTCTTGCGGTGATCCTTTGAATCCTACTGGTACAACATGACAGCCTGAGTTATTGATATCTCTTACAATATGTTTCGGTGGCCAATTTTGAGACTGGCATCTCAGAATAAAAGAAAAGGCAATGACTGGCCAGGATTTACATGAAAAACAATGTACAAAATCATAATCTTGACCAGCGTCCCTTCCACTTTCACTAGGTCCGTGAACCGTAGAGTCTTGCCTAAATAAAGACCCTGTATATTCTCTGTATTTTGCACTTGACACATATATTCCATCATTAAGTCTTACACATGATCGACGCACATGATGATCGTTTGTGGGAGTCAGAAGCTGTAACAAAGCAAACCCAGGGCGCTCCTCAGAACACTCCATTAGAATCAGAGTACACCTTTCTGTGTCGTATTTATCTGCCTGATCTAAATCCCAAATAACTTGATGATCGATGGGCCAGTTCATAAAGTCCAGGTCTGATGCCATGGTACCAAACCCTTCTCTACTACTTCCACTTACTATTGTTCTCCCTCCTCTTCTCATTCCTGATGGAGTCTTTATAGTCTCTGCAATATCAGACACTTCTCGTCTAATGGAGATCACTGTAGGAGTTCCAACTTTGTGGCACATGCATGAATAAACTGCCTCTGATATCCTGGGTACCTGATCCATTCTGAGTAAAAAATTTAATTTGTTATAGATAAGATAATAAATACATTTTCCCTATTTTATTTAAAATTAAAAACGTCTTGATACGCCCAGTCATTCACATTGGTTGATTCTAGTCACTGATTATGCTTACTGCTGTGTGAAACTCTAAACAGAAAGGCAAAATATTTTCATTTTCTTCTTAAATTAAAAAAAAGGAGAATGAATAAAAAATTAATTCACAAGAAAAAAAAGGCAAAAAATTAAAAATCATTATTTAATCTTCATTACCTTGTATGTTTGGCTTCCAAAATCCAAGACAGAAAAAGGAGAATTTAAGGAAGAAAGACATGGAAAGTTTAAACGGAAAGAGAAAAATGCCAAAAAGTAAAAAAAGAAATCTTTGATTTCTGACTTCCGTTCTAATAAAGAAGAATCTTAAATAAATAAAGGGAAAGTATTTGGAGAAAATACGATCAAACAAAATATGAAGTGCTGAAAAATAGATGTGAAAGAGAGAACATTTCCATTGACCTAATAGACGAAATATTTTTAGTATCTGCCTCTTTTTACTCCCAAAGTTATCCGATAGAAATATTTACAATAACCCTGATGAAAAATAATATTTTTCAAGTAAATTTAATGTTTGTAGGAATGAGATTTTTTTTAAAGATACATGAAATTATTTGTCTATGGTTATTATGCCTTTAACTTTAAATCAAGGCCAAGATTAAATTGATCTTGTATGATTTTGAAATCGTTCATTTTTTTTCTAAAAATATTCCTATAGATTCAGCGTAAAGATAATACTTCATAAAGCTAAGATTTACATGTATTAAAATGAAAATTTGCATAGGATGTTTTGTTTTGGTTAAGAAGACAACCTTGTGAAATTCAGTGAGTGAAATTTTGCTCAGTTCTTTAAATAATAATAATAAAAAAATGGAAATACCCTATTTATGTAAAATTTTTAAGAATTAAATTCCATGTGGTATAACATTTCATGTTGTATGGATGATGCATGATAACGGCATAGACATATAGTGTCCGTGATTACTGCTATTTAAGGATAATTAAAAACTTAGTTAAGGAGGAAGGAAGAATATGGACAAATGCAGATAGAAAGCCGGAAATCAAAAGGCTTTATTTAAATTTCAAGTATCTTTTTTGCATTTGAAGAATATTCTGAATGTATTTTCCAAGAATAAATGATCGCCAAAACAAAATCCATAATATGACAAGAACTAAGTCTGTGGAAATAAAAAAAACATTCATCTTGCAATTGTCCCGAGATAAACTCAATTCAGAATTTGTTTTGATTTTGATTTTTGTTGAACAGACATTTAAAATGCTGCAGGTTTGTATAAATATTTTAATAAACTGGAGATTGTTGAGGTCATATTGGTTGAGTAGTAATGATCTGTTGCAGTCATATTGTAACTGTCTTGTTCTGCCCTAGATTGTCTGTCTGTCATACAAAAATGTAATGTGTTATATAATATAACATCAATAATAATAAAAGGGATTCTTGTGCAAAAAATACGACGCCAAGAATAGATATTTAGAAAGTAAAACTAATTTAAGTCATGAGGTTTATGTGTTATGGACAGACTGACGGACGCACCAGCAGGCGAAAAAGCTTTAATATTTTCCTGTCTTTTTACAAAAGCAGTGGGAACAACAATCAAAATAATAATTTTGTTTTTATTTTTAAAAATGTTTCAAAGTCTATTTTAGATTGATTTTGTGATTTGACCGTTCTCCGTCTATAATATTGAGAGATGAAACTTGAACAAATCAAGTAAGAGCTAGGTTCACTTTATGTAGAAAATGGCCCTGTACTACAATTAATTAACTATCATCCTCTGTCCCATTTCATATATCAAAATAAATTCAACACTTGGTGCTTTCATTTCCTATAATAAAATTTCTTCTTGAGAATCCAGATATTGGAAAACAGGCTTTGAGAAATTACAATGTTCTTGAAACTTGCAGAAAACATGCGTATTTGACTACCTTCAGCAAAGAATTAAAATATGAGCACAGCCCAAGATCCAAAAAATAAAACATGTATTTTGATCTTCAGAAACAGAATTATGTTTTTGCATATTTTGGATCAATGGTTGTGCTCTATGTCAAATATAAAAAAAACTTTAACTTTAGGCCATTATGAACGGAATTTATAGGATATGAGGAAAATGACGCATTTAATGACGTCATAATGCATTGACTATAGGGAAAATTACGTCATGATTAAATAGATTTGAATATTTACGTGGTCACCAACACTTCAAGTTATAAATACTGCATTTGCAACCTAAAGAGAGCGGTTTTGATTTTTCAGAAATTATCAGGGCCAAATAAGGCACAAAGTGGTGCTTGCTCTTTATACAGCTTCTCATTTAATTCCAATAGTATTTAGTTTAAAGCATAAAGATAAGATTGTAATTGATTGATAAGATTCTAAAATTCTACTCAAATTTCAAGAAATAAATGAATGAATGATTGATAAGATAAATAAATAATAATAATAATAAATTAAATAAATTAACTAACAAATAAATATTAAAATAACAAAACAGATGTTCAACTACAAAACCATCTAGGATTCAAATGGAGGAAAGGAGTGCAAATTAATGTTTTGTGTTGAACATTATAAATGTACATAACTGTATATAAAACTTTGATTAAAGAAAAGAATTCGTAAATGTTTATGTCTATGACATTAAAGAAATAACTGAATTTGTTTTAGTTTTATGATGTGATCAATCGATAATTTTGGCGTTTATGCAAATTAACACGCAAGATCAATGTCATGAAACCAAAAAAAAAAAAAATGTGACAGTTACATTTACATGCTCTTGATTCCGCAAATCCACGTGCATAAATCCCGTCTCTGTCTCTATATGTCCCGCGCCGCAAGTGATTATTTAACCTCGCCTATCGATGAACCAGATTTGGACTTGTTTTTTCCTTCTGAAAGGTATTTTTTTCAAGTTTGGAAATAGAAACAAGTCAAAAGGCCAAAGATCTGGCAAATATTGTTAATGTGAAAAAACATTAACTTTCTGTTTATCCCGTAACCCCTTTACTCTTTAGGGCATGCGGGTTTGAACGCTGTCATGAAGAAATTCAGTGTAGTGGATTCCTGATTCTGGGTCCTTTCTCTGATAAACCTTTCGATTTCTTTGCAAAAAAACTGCTTTGTAGACACCTCCAGATATTAAACTGTCTCCTTGAATACGAATTTGAACAATAATACCACTCATATTTCAGACAATTGCATAATAATCTGTTTTTGTGCTCTTGCAGACCTTTGCTCTTGACAGACCTTCGCCGTTTTTATCAAGTACATCTTATGTTAAATTTTGTTTTAAGGGTTTTAAGCAATAGATTCATGTTCCAATATCTGTTTGAATATAAAACAAACGTGGATTACTACAATTACTGATATTTTAAGATAATTGTTAAGACTTTCGTACACGCTGTCGTTTTCACTCATTTTTCAAAATACAGGGTGACCTTTGAGTGCAAAGCTTTTTTACTGTCAAATGTTTCTTAAAAACAGTATAAACTACTCCCGATATGATGTCTATCAAATCTGCTATGTGTCTTAAAGTCATTCATACAAGATCAAATATTATTTGTTGAAATTTTGCAAACAGTACATAAGTTTTTATAATTTTTGTTGGCAAGGAGGGTACCCATTTTTGATACCCATTATATAATTTTATATCATTTAAATCCACCTGCTAATTTGTCTATAAAACAGGCATCGGTTGCTGTAAATATCACATATTTCAGTGATTCCACTAAAATTCGAAATTTTCTGCCACTAAAATTCGAAATTTTCTGCCCCTTGTTCCAGAGTTTCAACCCCTAATTAGGGACAATTGTTATCATATTTATTAAACTTATGATACTCCCGCGCTCACAGATCATTAGACAATCTCGAAACCTTCGGAATCTTGATATTCACTAAAAAGCTTTAAAGTTCATCGAAGGATAAGACCTTTTGGATCCAAAGTCAAAATATTATATGTTCCATCTAAAATGTAAGGTTTATACAATGCAATAAATAGCTGATAAATTTTCTTAGTACATTCCTCAATTCTTTGTATAGACGTTCAAGATTCATTTTTATATTAAGAAGTACAAGTATGATTTGTACAGACGCCCAGGCCCTGCTGGAATACCTACCTCACCTACAATCCCAGCTGACCGTCCAGGAGGAGGATGTGGCGTTCCTTAGAAGATTCCTGCGACGTAAGGAAGTACAGGCTACCATGAAGGTAAAATAATATTATACACGTAACATCACTCAAAATTAAAATAATATATTTTGTCTGAATTAATATATTTTTTCACTCATTATCTTTCTCTTAATATTCTTTTACACAAAACTACATGCAGTCAAAGATAATATCAAGCTATTGTAAATGTTCTATTAGAGGTATTGTTTGATTATGATATACCAATGTTTTACAAATACACACGGAAAACAAATCATATTATTCTTTACGACTTGTCTTTTGGTTACTAATGCTCTTGTACATGTAGCTAACAATTAAATTGAGCTAAAATAAGAGATAATTTTTCATAAGTTTTATCATTCTATATTCAATGATATTAAAAACGACTTTCCATTTCAGTCCTATAAGAGTATATCAATTTTAAGTTATCGAAAACTTCGCCCAGTGTCCCTGGCAGCCGTCGCTCTTGCAGCAAATGTAAGTCTCCATTCATCATAAATTTTATTTTTAGATTAAAAAAAAAAGCACGCTCATTTTCATCAATTTAATACATAAAATTAACGTTTAATGGCATTGTGAATTGTTCATTAATTCCCCCAGAAAGTGCTGCATCGTTTTGGTATGGTATCTGCTGTTGTAACCTTGAAACCCTGAAATTAACCATCATGGCAATGTTAATGGAAAATGTCAAAACATATAAAAGTACAATAATTCTTGTATTGCAAGGAAATCATTTAGACCTCTTTGTTCTATCATTTTATGTGTCCAATAAATCTCCGTTTAATGGTGGTATAAAAATGAGTTGAAATCTATACTGCTAAAAAATGGATTAGAAACCAATAATTTGTACGTGAAATAAAAGCAAGCTGTTACTATAAATCATAAAACAAGTAATAAATCAAACACAACCAAACTATACATTTTAATAAAATTGATTTTGAATAAAATGTGAAGTAAAGATGACGTACGGTGATCATGCTAAAAAATCCATCTAAAGAATACATTTTGTTAGAAGAGTTAACGAGGACCTCCGAGAACAAGGCTGGAATGTGGTGCCATGAGTGAGAAAGCATCCCCTTTCGTCCAATTTCATCCGACGTGTGATCCTTGTCATGAAATAAGGATTAAAAAATCACAGCATATTCTTTTTGGCCATCAAACAAGAATTTTTTCTCTTCGTATTTCGATCTCTTTTTTCCCCTCTCTTTCTTTCGCCGAGAGGGAGATAAATAATTTGCTTACTTGATCGTTTCCGTGGAGTGGTAAGGATAATCCTTTTATTTTGCTACTTCTTGCACGCAGCAATGTCCTTCTTGAATTATTTCAACAATTTTATCGCCAATTTGTAAGGAAACTTTCCTGTCCATTGCGTGACAATGTCCTCCTTGGAGAGTGTTTTCAATTTTTTATTGACCTTTTAATGTCCGCTGTGGTATCCGATTTGAACTCTTTATGGCATTTTAAGAACTCTATACAGACCTCATGTAATTTGTTCAACAGTTTCTCGGTTAATTGAAATTTTAATTACAGATTTTCTGTGATATTAGAAGATGCAACGATGATTCTAAGTTATCTGAGGAGTTGATGGAGATTTTGTCTAAACCCAGTCTACAGGTATATCATTTACTCTAAGAGATATGTACATAATTACAGGTATTCAAATATATGTGTAGGTTTTCTCAACGAATGTCTGTATATGCGCGCCCCAGTACCAAACGAATGGTACATTTCTCATTGCAATGAGGCTTAAGTATCATGTCTTTAAAATATACAGCATTCCTACATTAAATCAATGATTGTATACCAAATGTGTCTACTTCCCAATAAAGTTACTCTCTAAAAGTTACAATTTTGACAATCATGTGTCTCTTAAGAGCCAATTTGCATTTTATCAAATTAAATACAATGTATTCAGGTGTGTTCTATCTAAAAAAAAAACACATCACAACGGTAAACAACCTTTTTATATTCTGAAAAATTTCTCACAATTTCAGTTGATCCATGCATAGATCTAGAAAAAAAACTGGATATTTTTGTCAAACGTTGATAAAAAATAGAGATTATCAAAGAAACACATACATATTTTGCAACGATGATTCTAAGTTATCTGATTTGTTGAGAAACAAGAAAGTTATAGGCATTAAAAATTTAGCCAATCAGATTGCAGAACACGTGCTTGCGCATGCTTTTATGATAATTCTTATATATCATGCTGTAGATCTTCATAATGTTTGCCTATGTTCAAAATTTCAAAGGATTTTATCAAAAAACAAGAAAGATATTGAGAATTTAGTTTCAGCCAATCAGAGCGAAGCGCACGTGCATGCGCGTGACATCTTGCTATTTTGACCATGTCATCTTGTCTACACTACTAATTATAAATTTCAAAAGATTTCATCAGAAAATAAAAAAGTTACGGCTATATCCATTATATTGGTCATTTCACGTGTTGCACGTGCGCGCTCTTGCAAGCACGTGCGCGCAAAATGGCATGTTGACAATGTCATCTTATCTATATTTATAATATGTCTCTATATTCTAAATATCAAAGCATTACATCGAAAAATATAAAAGTTACGGCAATTTCAATATATTGGTCATTTCACGTGTTG